CAGTCCCATCCATGTGGATGTAAAAGTTGGGTATTCATCCTTTCTGATGGCTGAGTAATATTCCATTGTATATATGGACCACTTCTTCTTTATCCATTCATCTGTTGAAGGGCATCTCGGCTCTTTCCACAGTTTGGCTATTGCGGACATTGCCGCTATGAACACTGGGGTGCATATGGCCCTTTTAAAAAAAGATTTATTTATTTGAGAGAGAGAGAGAGCGCGCCTGTAGAGGGAGAGAATCCCAAGCACACTCTGCCTTGAACACAGAGCCTAACACGGGGCTCGATCCCAGACCCCTGAGATCACGACCTGAGCTGAAACCCAGACTGAGCCACACAGGCACCCCAAGACAGGGTGAGGTTTTGGATCCCATGTGAGGAAATGGTCAGTGCCCAATGCTTGCATAAGTCCAGTAATGCCATGGCAACATCAGTCCATTGGGTTTGACCAGAGGACACTGTTAGTGGTTTAAGAGAGAGACAGAAAAGGGGAGTAAAAGTACTGAATATTTATTCACTGTGGGCATGCGGCACATAGTACATGCTTTACATTGCAGTTGAGGGGAAAATGAAAGGTAAGTAAGCAGAGTTAAGGGTATAGACCACTATTTCAATCCATTATTTGAAAGGTGAGCCTGATCAAATAAAATTTGGAAGGCTTGCTGTTACAGTGTTATAAAGACCGAGAACAGTTTCAATTTCATTTAGTTCCTGTATTACTAAATACAATGTTTCTATTCTTCAAGTATTCCAATTTCAGTCCCATTTGCAATAAAAACATTGGCCTCTAGAACATGATAGCTCCTATTGCTTCCCAAATAACTCCACAGATGTCAACTGACAGTTTTCCAACAGTAGAAAGAGCCAAGTACAGAAAAGTGAAATCTAACAATCTAGAATGAGAACAGGAAAGAATAGACAACAAACTTCTGAATTGCAGATTTTATTTTTTTAAGCAATGACGATTTTTATTAATTTCAAGTTGCAAACATATTCTAAGGCCAAATCAAAATGGTTTTCAGAATATAAGAAAAAAACTACTCACAAATTGCATCAATAAAACACAATGATGTGACACGGAGGATTAAATGTCTTTTAAATATATTTTTTCAAGTTTTTTATTTAAATGCCAGTTAACATATAGCATAATATTGGTTTCAGGAGTAGAATTTAGTGATTCATCACTTACATATAATACCCAGTGCTTGTCATTACAAGTGCCTTCCTTAATACCCAACATCCATTTAGCCCCCCGCCCCCATCCCTCCATCATCAGTTTGTTCTCTATAGTTGAGTCTCTTATGGTTTGTTTCCCTCTCTTTTTTTTTCTCCTTCCCCTTGTTCATCTGTTTTGTTTCTTAAATTCCACGAGTGAAATCATATGGTATTTGTCTTTCTGTAACTGACTTGTTTCACTTAGCATCATACACTCTAGTTCCATCCTTCTCATTGCAAATGGCAAGATTTCATTCCTTCTGATGGCTGAGTAAGATTCTATTTTGTGTGTGTACACCACATCTTCTTTATCCATTCATCAGTTGATGGACATTTGGGCTTTTTCCATATTTTGGTTATTGTGGATAGTGCTGCTATAAAGATTGGGGGTGCATGTGCCCCTTTGAGTCTGTGTTTTTATATGCTTTGGGTAAATACCTAGTAGTGCAATTGCTGGGTCATAGGGTAGCTCTATTTTTAACTTTTTGAGGAACCTC